CCCCAAAACCCCAAAACCCCATGATGAAGAATTTTAGTCTTATTATATGCAACAAGTTATGAAATTAATATAATTTCTATCAATCTGCAAGATATTATTGATCACTTCTTAGTAAAAATTGAAATTTTCCTCTCATTTGCCTAGAAATTTTCAGCTAATCAGGCTTCCACAACTTTCTTCCCTTAATCACTTGGCACATCAACTCTTGATTCTTATTAAATTAATCCTTCATCTGTACTAGTTGTTCTTTGTTCAAAAATATTTTCTAATTGTTCTTAGCATCCTTTCTATTTTTAACAATCATATCTGAAACCCTAACCGAAGATATTGAATAACTATTTATTTACATAAGATTATCAACATCTTCATTTGTTGTTACTAAGTAGCTGTCTATAGCCTTTTAATACTCCTCAGTTTGCAATCTCATTTGTTTAGTTCTAAATAATGATCAATTAGCTTTAAACTTACTCTTTCATAATTAATCCTATCTCTCGATCATCTATGGACTGAGATAATTTTGCTTTGTTTTATGAGCATGAATTCCTTTAGACAAATCCAGAGAATTCTTCACATCAACTTAGCAAATTCATAATACTTCCTTCGGTACTTTTGAATAAACCAGACTTATCAATTGTGGATGATTAGGAGATTGGTCTTATCATGCTATTCCTTGTCTAGGCATCCCCTATTAATAAAAAAAGTTATTGGAAATTTATAAGTGTACTGAATCCTGTTGATGAATATAGATTCTAATTTTATAACTAGGAACTTGTTCCTCCCATGCTATTTCTGTTTGCATTCCATCTACTTTTCTAATTTTGTCGACTTTTGATATATCTCTAATTTATTTATTATATGCTTTCAATCTAGCTATTTCCATCATTTATGGCAGCATTTAGCACAGTTTTAGCCCTAATTCTCTCTTATTAACTCGTTCTAGTTTACCTTCTCATTGGCAGTATAATTGATTGACTTGCATGTTCAATTGTTTTTAATTTTTCTTGGTTTTAAATGTTTAAATTCACATTGAAGCTAACTGTCTGTAGTTGCTAGTTAGAATTTTACATAGTCTGATCAGTCATAAGTGACTCTGTTTAACCGTCAAAGTTATTACCCATTTTGACACTTACCTCTCTTGCCTCATCAGCTGCAGTTTTTATTTGACTTTGTATATCAGAGTTTAGCTGCTTTGCCTTTTGCTTCAAAGCCTAAGCTCTTTTTTCAGCTTTTAGCTGTGTAAGTTTTTTCTTCATTGGAATTAATAGTTATTGAGAAGCTTTCTCCATTTCTTCTTTTTACTTAAGTAAATCAGTCTTACTCTTAGTTTGAACAATTATTTCATAACCACTGTCGAGTAGATGCTCTATCTCTTTCAGCTCTAAAAATTAATTATCATATAGTTATTGCCTTACATTATCTCATTTGACTATTTTTATTGAGAGTCTCAAATTTTGATTTTTATCTTTGCGTCAAATCAATAATAGATCTCTTCACTTCCAATGGCGTATCTTTTAAATTTGGCACTTATTGATTATGCTTGAATTACCAGAATAGCTACTAAGATAAGTTCTTAGTCTGCATTTAATTCTAAGAATCATTAAAGTCATTACCTAAGCCATAAATTGATGAGGAGTTAATATTATTAGAAGGAATCTCTTTACAAAACTAAGCTCTTTACCCATTGTTAAAGAAAACAGATTGATTCTCAACTTCGAAAGTATCGTATTTAGCATTATTTTCTGCTATTAATGGGATAGAATCATGATATTCATCATCGATTGTCTAGTTAAGTTTATATACTCCTTCAAAGTATTTTTAAGAATCTCTTGTCTGTATCTGTGGGTCAAAGTTTTAATGATCAAAGTGATTTTTCCTTAATCTTTGCCTGATATTTTCAAGCTTCCTATGCCTTTCATTTGTAGTGACATAGACATTTTTAGGTATCTGTATTATCTATTCACTTTCTTGAAAATCTTTGTTGACTTTGGTAGATATTTTGGAATTATAAAATAGCGTAGCGTTTTCTAGCTCATTATTCTTGGAGATGTCATCAAAACTTTCATATAAAAACTATCCCAAGTAAGATTTGTTGTTGTCTTATGTCTCCTTGATTTGAGGATTGTGTTTAAGCATGAGTTTAGATATCATTTTGTTTCTATTGGAATTCCGGATGAGGAAATAGTTTAACTTAAACTCATTCAGCTTCTATTTATGAGAACCATAATCAAAACTTTTATTCAAATTTTACATTTTAATTTATTATTTTAATCAAATTATGCCTTTAACCACAAATATCAATAATTTTGTTTATGGGGTTTTGGGGTTTTGGGGTTTTGGGG